CAACACACTATGTATGCAAGGAGAAGTTAGGCTCACTGTTTAGGTTGTGAAATTATGCATGTGTACCTTCTGCCTTCCACCTTAATGTATAAATGAGGTCAAGGTGTACTGTAATTGGAAAACACAGCATGTATTTATATGCAGCATCTTTTCAGTCATACTGAAAATTGCTCCGTCCCTTCCAAATTCATTTTAAAGATCTAACTTATTTGAAACTGTGACCAAACGTTCAATTAAATGTACAAGATGTATTCCATAATAAATGTGTTTACATTGTGGGAGGCATATGAAATAAAAACATGACATTCATTCAGATATTATGAGGGTATTGGATGAACAAATCATGACCTTGATTAATCTATACAGGAATAAAAATGCCAATAATTGTGATAAAAAGAAGCTCCTGTTCATTTAAATCATTGGATGACTGCAAGAAATACAAAAGGATGAAGAATCCAGTAGCCTAAAGGAAATCAAGGGACTTCACAAATGACATGAAAGTGCTATTTGTTGACAAGATTTTGTTACACATTTAGATCACTGGAAGGGCCAAAGGTAAAGGCTTATCACCATTTCTAAGTTATTCATTAATCAAATTCTAGATACATAGTGTTCAAAGACATATCTGTGTTAATCTGTTTCAACATTAAAAGATAGGATTGAATCCATTGAAATTTCTACCACAATCTTTTGTGGTCTCCAGTCCACTAAATCTAAAGAAGTAGACTGGAGTCCACAAAGGTTTGTGCCATTTTTTTTTTCAATTATAGAATCAGAATTGGAAGACACCTCATGGGCAATGCAGTCCAACCTTCTGCCAATAACCAGGAAAAGCTTATTCAAAGCATCCCCAACAGATGGCCATCCAGCCTCTGTTCAAAAGCCTCCAAAGAAGGAGCCACAACCACACTCTATGGCAGAGAGTTCCACTGCTGAACAACTCTCCCAGTCAGGAAGATCTTCCTAATTTTCAGGTGGAATCTCCTTTCTTGTAGTTTGAAGCCATTGTTCTGCGTCCTAGTCTCCAGGGCAGCAGAAAACAAGCTGGCTCCCTACTCCCTATGACAGTATTTTTTACCTGAATGACAACACTCTCACAGCTACCCTGTAATAAAATAGGAATAAGTGACTTTTACATTTTTAAATGTTAACTTCCAGGGATGAATAACTGGCATAAAGATTTTCTAAAATAAATTAATATAATACATGTAAAGTTAAAGAAATGTGTGGATAATATTTTTTCCATTCACATTATAATTTCATAATGGTATCTGTAGAAATAAAGGTATCTGTTTTCCTGGTACTTTTAACTATGGAAATACTTCTCATTAGTAGGAAGACTTGCCACAGATTACTTGTACTATCATAATATCAAACATTATAGCATAGTATAAAATGGCACAAATGTGTTATTTTGTACCAATGACATTGCAGTTAGGACTTGCTGACCTATCTACCTGAGCATGACATTCCAAAAGGTCAGAGAAAATGATGTTACACATTTGCATCTGTTGAAAAAAAGCGAATAAGTTTCTCATCCTTCCTCTTTTCAGCTGTGAGAAGCAGTAAGGGGGTTGTCTTTATGCAATGCTTTTTCTTGATGTTTCTGGAAAGAGGGGAGAGCCCACTTTCATACAACATAGATTCCTCTGTTCAACATTTTTAGATATTCTGTACACTGCCTTGTTTTTGACTTCACCTTTGACCTCCTCTGAAATAAGGGAAGTGTGTGAACACACTTGAAAAACTTGTGAGGAGCCCACCATAGAAGAATAGGAGTTTTTTATGTTGTAAAAATTAATAAACCTCTTTATTGTGGCAATGGCTTTGTCTTATCTTGATTATGGTATCAAAGAAAATTCAAATTATATGTATATTTTTGCATTAAAGCAGAATTGCTTACATGGAAAGCATTGCATGTAAAGAATACCATGTTTCTATATCACTTTTAGAACTTGCTGTAGCTCTTATCTATTTTAGTAAAAAAATATTACATGGTTCCCCTTAATTCTACTCTTAGCAGCAAAATAGATTTTTTTAAAGCTAGATAAACATATTGTTTTCACTCTGACTATAAATCATCAATCTTGAATCTCTCCTGTCTGGAAAGCAGACACAAATAAAAAATGAATGGTTCCTTCAATGTTATCCATAAACAGTGTGTCGTTCCCCCCTCCCCCCAAAGTATCTGGAAAGGTGGACATTTAAAATGTAGGCTTGCTTTACCTGTGATGCATGTACCTATTCAAAACATATGAAGAATCAAGGGGGAAAGGGGAGAAAGTAGGAGTACAGATAAAGCCATAGTTTCATGGTTGAATATGTAGATTTCTGTTAACCTCTCATATACATTCCTATTCCAAAGACCTTGAGGATCACAGAAGGGAAAGAAAAGAGAAATTCTGGGGAATGCAGGGGAGGGGGGGAGCGGTCCTCTCTTTTATACTTTGGAATGAACTGGAACCAAATTGTTTTTCCCAACTCCTATTTTTGCTAAATTATATTACTCAAAGTGGACACAGAGCAATATGACTGAAATATTTTTAAAGTCGTAAACTTCTACTCTGAGGTGTTAAACAATTTGGCCATTACAAGCCATTCATTTTCTGCCCATTATCCATTTTGGACAAATGGCTTCACTTCCATGGGCCATCCCAATTGCAGTCAAACCATTATAGTGGCTCTTTGCTTAAGAGTTGTCTCAGGGTGGTTCCAAACAGCCCTTTAACCTGAGAACAATCACATTTTAAAAACATAATTATTCCCAGGTTCTAGTCCACCCTCTCTGCCCCAGAAAGCATGTGCTTTTCTGGAGGCGGGGGAGGGGGTTGCCCACATGCCCTGCTAGTTGCCCACATACCCTGCAGCCATTTCCCCTTCTCTGGAGTTCTCCTGAGTTGTACCAATGACATTTCAAGAAAAGGTGGGGGGGGGTTCCAGGAGTGATTTTCCTCCTCCCCCCCCCTCCTTGGAGTATCATTGATACAACCCAGGAGAACTCCAGAGAAGGGGATATGGCTGCCAGGTGAGTTATTTTCCTATTTTAAAGGCTTGGGGGGGGGCATGCCCTCGCTGTTTTCCAATCTGAATCAGGACTTCTGAGAGGGCAGTCCAGATAGCATCCATAGTGGCTTTGACCAGCGCCTTTCAAGAAGGCATGAATTAAGCCCATTATCAAATTACCTTGGCACAAAGCAGAGTTTTTCTGCTTTGTGGCCAAAACATCGTGTTTTCGTGGGTGGATGCCCCACTTGAAGAAGCAGGAGGGCACACGATTTAGAGCCTGTCTGGATCACCCATAGTTCACCCATCCATTTATTGAGAACACCAAAAGGATTCATGGTTAGGTTTACAATTCATGAACTAGACTGAAATGTTGTTTAGTTATTAAACAAAAATATAATAACAATGAGTGGTTTTGTTCCACTGTTTTTTCCCCATGGGTTTCCCTCTATTCAGATAGAAATCCTTTTTTAAGAAAAATGATATATGTCTATAAGCCACTTATAAAAATGTGTTCAGTATTTACTTTTCGTGTTTTAAGTTACATGTTGAAATACATTAGGAATCTTTTTTTACAAGAAGATAAATAAAATAATAATACACTTTTGATTTATGACCACTCCATCTCCTTACTATTTTCTGACTTTTCTATAAAACAAATGTTCTCCTACTTTCCATGTAAACCCTTCCCCCCTTTTTTTCCTCTTTTACTATTGTTGATATACTAATAAAAACTATTCAAAAATAATAAACTTGTTTTTTTCTTAATCTAGTGGTATTGTTTACTGACACTGAATGATTGCAACTAATATATTGCACTGTTAAGTATATAAAACTCATCTATCCTTACAGTGATCCTTTAAGGTAAACCAAATCAATGGATTCTGAATATGCACAATTGATTTATGTGTTATGGTTCTACAGAAAATATACTCAAGTAGTTAATACTTTTTGTTTTGCTTTTTAAATATAATCAAAACAATACACTGAAAGCAGAAAGCTTCAGAAACAGCAGCTGAAATTTGAAGGCTCCTGAAAACAACATTGTGTTCAGTGTTCTTTTCAAAATGTACAATAAAGGAACAAGATGTTTTGGAGGCCCTTCCACAAAATGGATATCATATTCCCAGTGAATGAATGCTCCAAAAGGAAAGGAAAGGGGTGGGGGGAGCCTCAAAAGGAAATCTCTTGTCACTTCTAGGATACTATGACATCATGCTATTTGGAAAAAAAATATGATTAAAACCAGCATCCTGAACTGAGACTGGAAATTAAATGGAAGTAAGTGATGTTGACCCATAAATTGATCCTTACTGGACTTTCTGACCCCAGAATAGGTGCTCCATTTGAGATCAAGTGAAGACTTAAAAGTGCAAAACATGTATGACAACAATTTGGAATCCGATTCTTCTCAAAAATCCAAGTGTGCAAATCCCACTTAATTTAGTAAGGATTAAGGAAAAATGAATTAACCTTGCACTAATAATAGAACTGACCATAAATATATATTGAAATCTTTGAATATAGGACAGGATATAAACTTTAATCAATACATTAAAAATTACCACACTGGAGCGCTTTGCCTCCAATTAAGAGATTATTATTTTAATTACAGATAAATGTAACAACTGTCTAATGTAGTGGTTCCCAAACTTTGGTCCTTCAGATGATTTGGAAATCAAAATTCTTGACTGTTGGGTAAGTTTAATGGGCTTCCAGAAGTTGAAGTCTAGAACACCTGGAGGACCAAAGTTTGGGACCAACAGCATTAATGTAATTTTTTTCTCTATTGAAATAAGCATTTTTTTATGTACTATGAAAAAAACTGTAGTTTATCATGATTATAACTCAAGGTTGTATAATGCTAACATGTCAGGTTCAGGTTGCAATTATGCGATTATTTCTCATAGAACAAGAACAAACATATGGCACTTTTTTTTGCTTATTTTGAAAGAGTGCTTTATAAAAAAAACAGCAGCTAATCTATATGGACTTACCATGTACCACATACTTTGCCATTTGGGATCATTAAAATACATGGACTGGATGCTGCCAGGTTTGTAATCCCTTTTTGTCCTTATTTTTACAACCTGTTGCTCTATCCATTCCACCTGTCAATAAGAAAAAATGGTAAATATTATAACTAGTTAAATGCATTGCTAAAACCATGGTAAATCTTAAAAAGCTATAAAATAAATAAGTAAATACAAATATGAAGACACTTGCTAGAAACAGGTGCTGACTTTTTAAAGTGCAGAGTTCATCTTGATATATTTGTTTCTCTTTAAATATGTTCTACAAAGCAGCCTAAACATACACCAAGATCTAGTTATTACATGTGGCAGCAGCCTGCATTTAAAAGTGATTATTATTTGAAATGAGTATTTTTTTTTTATGTTTTTGCCCTATCTCGGTCAATCTGAAGAACAAGTGAACAAGCAAAGGAGAAAAATAGCGTAACTGCATACAGGGTTGGTTTATAGTACATAAACCTGAGCAGACAACTTGCTTTAGAATAATTTTAGCAAAAAGCTTATTTTGGAACAGGCAGGAAAATAGTGCATTTATAAAAACTAGCCTGCTCAGATCAGTGCCTGTGTTCTGAATGTTCAATACTTTTCTGATGATAAGAAATTCAGCAGGGAAATATAGTCTGTGACCTTGATGGCCTTACTTTGGCATCTCCTCTCAGTTCTTGTTGTTGTTTAACCTGTAGTTCTCCTGTTTAGAGGGCAGATATTCTAATTTAGGGTTTTACTTCTATTTTTTTCTTTAAAATGGCTTCTGAATAGTAGTCTTTCTATGAATAGTGGCAAGTGGCACATTTGAGCTGAATCACATTTTACATTCCCTGATTATAGGGCTGCTAAAGCATACCTAAAGAAAGTTTGCTTGAACATATCACAATATTACAAGATTAGGTACTGATAAGAGCAAAATCTGCCAAACTATACGAATAACTATGGAAACAATACAATTTCTCCTGTGTTAAAGATGAAATGCAAACACTGTACACAAAAAATAAATACACATATTTTATGTAGGAAAGATTAAGTTCAAAATTGCTTCAAATAACATACATTGCTCACATTTGTAATGCTAGAGCTTGCAGCAATACATTTATGATTCACATTTCCCAATTCAAATACACTTTATTTTATTTATGTCATAAACTATTTCCAAAACTTTGGAGTAGATATTTTTTTTTTTACAATTTGATAACAACTTGTTGCATTTTATCCTGTAAACTTATCTGCATTTTATGGAAATATCTCCAGGGTTCGTATTCCCTCAACTTAGCAAGACCTTTATATCAAATTGTGAGCCCGACATAGTGGTTTGAGTGTTAGTCCAGGACACTGGGAGAACATGATTTGAATGCCTGTTCAGCCATGGAATCCCACTGGGAGACCTTGGATAAGTCCCGTTTGCTCAGCCTCAGAGGAATGCAAATCAGACCTCCCCAGAACAAACATTTTAAAGAAATCTCATTTGTCAAAAATAACTTGAAGGCACACAACTGCACAACAGCAATAAGGATCTGTAATGGCTTCAGCATTTAAAAGATGGCAAAGAGCTGGTGAGTTTTGTGACATTGGCATTTCACGTAAAACTTTGTGTTCACTGGCAGGCAGCTGCACTAAAGTACCTATAACATTTCATCTATATTCTTTAGCTTTAGCTCACCAGCATATTGGGAGCCTATTTATTTTTCATCTGCTGGGTGGCTGATTGGAAGTCATGTTAAGTTCCTTCCTTTCTCTGTTGTACTTTTTAGCACCTTACAGTAGCTTCCAGAATAGGGAGTTAAGAATGTCACAAGTATATTAACAGAGAGTAAAGGCATATTCTAAGGAGTT